ATACACAGATTCCTCATCTGATCAAGTACATTTTTGAAATAAAAAGCTCCTCTGAGATAGGAGAAGAGAAAATAGTTAACTTCCTGATCTTAATTAAATGAGTTACCTGCATCACTCATTTCAAAAACTCCCGTCCAGTGCCTAAGGATAAACTGAACAATTAAGTGAGACAGAGAGAGATACAGTCTGGCCTCGTCATCTACATAATTTGATCAAAAGAGAGCTTACCTACCGCAATTTCCCACTCATAAAGATTAAGCACACACCTAGCCTTATGGCTTCCAGCTATTAAGTCAGGTCCTTTAGACCACAAATTAGGCCACTGAGAAAACATTCAATGCAACAATAATAAACTAATTTGATTCAGTTTATTGGCTCTATGTAAAATCTGCCAAACTTGGTGGCAAACAGGTGGTTGTAGACTTGTTACGGAAGTTAAAACAGATAATCTGTAAGATCCCTTTCACCTATAGCACTCAAGGAAATGACTGACTGCTCCAAGGAGGCTCAAGGGCTGCAAGGGGCGGGGGGGGGGGGGGCAGAAAACTGTTAATCTGCACATAATTTTGAGATTCCACTTTTGATACCTGTCTATAATATGGATTTGAATAATCTAGTAACATGATAGGAACCTACTGGAGATACTTCTAGTAATTAATTAAAAGATACAAATGAATATACAGTTGGTCTGAATGATTTTATTAAGTCCTCTAACACACTCATCTCCTTTCAGAATGACAAAGAATTTGGCTCATTTAAAATGTTCAATTTTGCAAGAAATGGGTACACAAATAAATGCACACTTTGACTCAAACCCTGCTTTAAAGTTGGTAAATGCCATGCTTGGCATAACTTAAGAGTTATATTGACTGTTTCTAAAATTATGTAATATTTTAAGTATTTTTACATCCATCTTAAAGCTTAAATAGCATGGAAAGGGAACAATTATTGTGGAACCAGAGCTGCCCTTCTAAAACACGAAGACAGAGCCAAGTATCAGAATTAACCTATGTAAACGGAGAAACAAATTTTCAAGAGTAACCTCACTAAGTAGATGTGCTAGACCACCGCGGCCACCATTCCTAGTTTGAACATGTGCAAATAACTTCTTAAACTACCGAAACCTACTTCTGAATGTATGAGGCCTTAAGAATCTGCTTTTGTAAAGATAAATAAATAACGAGAAAATATGCCTTTTAAATCTTTCCTCATTGCAATAGTCACTCTAAGTATCCAATTTTTTAAAAAATCGACTCTACCAGGCCCCAGGGAGTTGCTTAACAAAAGCCACTTAATATAACCATAGTGCTGAGGCATGAAAAAAAAGCCCCTTTAACTGCATAGAAAATATTTATGAGTTTACTTTCCTTAAGCATACAATTGCGTCCTTGTTTTCAAAGCCCTGCAATTCACATCAACGGAAGAAAAAAATCTGAAGAGACAACAGAAAGTTAGCTTCCTAGAAGAAGGCACTTTGAGTAAGAAAGAGCACTAAAGAACCAGAATCTCTTTCTTTAAAAAGTGATCTCACAAATTTCTCTTCCTAAAAAGATAGAAACAAACGGATAAACTGCGCGAAGGCTGAACTGGCAATTTATCAATCGCATCTATCTACATTCAGCCAGTTAGTACTGAAACCTCAGAGCGGCACTCCTTCAGGGCGCAAAACATCTGGGAAAACTCTGCGACTCCATTTCAAAGATGCCATCTGACTGCTGGCCTCTCTTTTCATCTCTCCTCCACTGTGAATACTATTTCATAAACTGGAAGGATTAATTTAGCAGAGATCAGTAAGCCCTTACAGGCACGAGTGTTACCGAAAAGAACAGAGTGGAGCGCTCTGGCTAAGTTTCCCAGCTCTAGGGCGCAGCGGAAGCCCTCGCCCCCGGGCCACCCGGTAGCCCCGCGCCGCGGCGCCGCTTTGATTTCCAGCAATGGCTCCAGGACCAGACCGGAGCGGCTGGGGCCGGCTCGCTGATTCTCATTCCGTTCACGTTGCGAATCGTTCCCCCTCCCGTCCCTCCGCCCCGCCTCCGCCTCCTGGCCCAGCAGCCGATTCCAGGGCCAGCAATAAACTTTCCAGTGGGCAGGCGCCACAACACTGCCCACCTTCCAGCCGGGCTCTTTCTCTCATCCCCTTTTCCAGAGCTCCAGCAGGAGCACTGTGCGCAGCTGGGCAATCTGACGAAAGCACCCAAGGAGCTCAAAGTCCGCCATCCCGACACAGCTACTTGCATGCCTCGCCGGCACCGGCGGCGCGGCGCCCCTTGCCCACCCGCCCTCAAGCTCCAACTTCATTCCTATCAAACTTACAGCAAAGTTGGGCTCAAGTGGTGGTGGCGGTGGCGCTTTCGGGGGCCACGCACCTCGTCGCCTCAACAGTCCCCGCGGCATGGACCGGGTCGGCCGGGGATCTCACCGGGCACGGAGATCCGCATGCTGTCGCCGGCCAGGTGTCTCCGGCCCGCCGCCCGCCACTCGCCACTCGTGCGCCGCACTCCCAGTCCGGTAGGAGCGGAGTAGATCCCTCCGCCCGCGGCCACGCCCGCGAGCGCCGGCGCTCGTTTCTCCAGCTCGGAAACTCAATCAGACTTTCCCAGGCGGCGGGACTGTGAGCCCGAGGGTCCCGGGCGCTGACGCCCCTCCAGGCGTCAGAGGTCCTCTTCGGGTACACCAGCCAACTCCTGGCGAGGAGACGAGCGAGTACCCTGGGCGATCTTGCGACACCCCAAGGAACTCTGTGGGGCTTGCTCTAGTGCCGATGTTAGTTATGGCTAGCACGGATTTGTGCAGAGAATTAATATGTACTGTTCCTTGCTAGGAAAGGGAAAGTTACCCCCCTCCCCCCCCCAAAAAAAATGCTAGCTAAGGCTACTGAAGAAGCTTCCCACGCCTCCCTTTAGATCGTCTAGAACCTTCAAGGAATTCCTAAATCTGCATTTGAATACCTCGGTTCCGGGTCTGCAACAGCTTGGAGGGGAGGGGGTGTAAAATCCTCCAAAAGATCTGAAAGGAATGCAGTTAGATCGGAATGACTTCCTCCTTAGAGCATTAAAATCCGGGAAAATAAAAGCGCTTCCTCCGAGAACTCTTAGTGCGGAGCTAGTTAGACCCCATAACCTCCCCGACCCCGGTGGGGAACCCTAACGCCCGCCTCTCCGGGCGGGCACTCCCTACTCTCAGGTCCGCGGGACAAAAGGCATCAGTGCCTCCTCGTGCGCTTTCCCAGCGGGTTGAGTCACACCGTGCAAACGGGGCCTATTCTAACTTGAAAGTGCAAATTCCCTAGGGAGAGAGGGAAGCCCCGGGCGTCCAGGCTCCCCCGCCGGGAACTCCCCAAGCCGGGCGCGCAATCCGGCGTCCCCGACTGTGAGCCCATCGCAGTGCCAGCAAAGCTCCAGACGCCCGGGCTCCGCGTAGCTGAGACTCCTCGGAAGCCTGGAATGCTCCCGGGCTTTGGGAAATAGCCCCGAGAAGAGGGCGGACGTGACCTCGGAAAGTTTGTGGGGCCCGAACATTTTAACTCTGTGAGGACAAAGAGATCTGATTTCTCCGGAACCGGTGGAGGGGGCTGCAGAGTGAACTGCAAGGCAGACGGGGGCGAAGGAGTCTAGGGTTAAATAGAGAATTTCCTTGGTTCAACGTTAATGCAGTCTCCTCTTAAACCATCTTAAAGAAGGTGATTGAAAAAATAAAGGTGTCTAGCAGGTTATGGCTGGGAAGGAAAAATAATGCCTGCAGAGCGAATGTGCTGAATCCTAGCACTAAGAAGAGTACGTTGTGTGTTCCCTGCGCATTATTTAAAATACACACACATTGACACTCCCAAAAAACACTATCATCCAAACACTTGGGCACGGCCACAAATGCGCAAAACGCTCCTGCAGTTATAGGTCAATTTCATACATGGAACACCTCGGAAGTAGCTGCTTTCCAAGCTCAACCAGTTTTCGCCCTTCGCCGAATTCTAACTCTTAACAAAATGCAACCACACAAGATACACCGACGTTGGGGGTTGGGGTGGTAAAAGTAAAAAGACACCTTCCCGTAATACAAAATCACACGCTTTTCTTTCAATGGCACAAAAGAATTCCTGGAGGAAATGACCATTCATTAATAAATAATAACGCTTACTCGATCTAAATCATCTGTTTGGGAATCCCCATGTTCTAGGCTCACCAAGAAACCTACTGGCCTGGATGAAGTTGCACTTGGTCGCCACAGGTACAGCCGAGAGCCAGAGATGGAGATTTCAGACTCCGGCGCTGCCACGTTTTCACTGATCCTTTAGTCCCAATGGAAAGACAGAGAGGTGCCTTTTTGCTACCGTCGAATTACCTTCGCACGAAAGAGAAATGTAGTTTAAGCTCCACGTTTCTCCTTTCAATAATCGACCCTCCCTAACCCTGTCCCCAAAGCTTCTCGGAAATTAGGGGCACAGGGACGATTTCCGAAAAACAAAAACGCTTTCCTCCAGCACCGCCTCCGAATCCAGTCCACTCAAGCTAGTATTTGTAAATTACACACAGAGTGCGCCGGAGTGGGTGGTATGTGAAGGCTGGGGTGGCGGCGTCGGAGTTCACGCCCACGTCCCAGGAGCAGGTCCAAGTTCGCTGTGCGCAAGGAACCCGGCAGGGAGCGCGCTCCCTGCCTGGTGTCCATACTAGAGGGCGCTGCGCCACTGTGAATCACGCGGCCCGGGATGCGCCCTCCCTGGGCACCATTTCTATAATAAGTTACATCCAAAATAATGCACAAACAGCATAGCTTTTCAAGTTCTTCTGAACAGCGCTATGTATGTATTTTATGAATTCCAAAACCTATGCATACCGATCTTTCATTTTAGAGCCATGCACAGCCAGAGGGGAGTGCAGCTCGCCGAGTGGAGAGCCTGTAGGATGCACACGCTTCCCTGCACTAGCTGAGAACCAAATACCCCACGTAATTTCATTTACGTTGAAACTTAAATACATAAGGCTTCCATTAAACAAAGAACTCACCAGTCCAGCCGAGTCCTCGGAGCTCTGCTTTCAAGTCCTCGGCAGGTCCGTAATCCCCCACGCGATTTGGATATTTGTTAGAAGCCGTGTCTGAAGTACCAACTTTGCCTCCCACGGATCTTCAGCATGTCCCCAACAAGAGTGAGATCCACCCACGCTGCCGGGACCCAGGTGGCCGCATCTCCAGAGGCTTCCGTCCTGGGTGAAACTTAAGCACCGAAACGAGGAGAGAGGAGAGTGCGCGAGGGCTAGAGAGAGGGCCGGAGAGAGGGCCGGAGAGAAGCCAAGTTTGTCAGGACTTGCCCAGGCAGCCAGCCGCCGAGTTTGAGAGTTGCGGCCGGGAGCTGCGGCGGATCACTGCCTCTTTCCCCACTCCCTCCCTCTTGGGGGAGCTGGGGGAGGGGAGGTGACGTCAGCGCCCCGCCTCGCCCCGACCCGGCGGCTGGGATGGGATTCTCCGGCGGGGTCCGCCTCCGGGACAGTAGCGGCGGTGAGCTGGGAGGCTGGACCGCGCTCACCTGCCCAGCTGCTGTCCCTCCGGCGCGGCGTCTGCCCCTCTACCCCGCCGCGTCTCCGGGCTCCGCAGACCGCAGGCGCCCCTCCAGCTCAGCACCCGAGCGGCCCCCGACCCCCGCTGCGCGCCCCCCTCTGGCTCTCTTTCCAGCCCCCTCCGGCAGCGATTCCCACGCCTGGAACTGCAAGCAGGTGATGCTCTTCCTCTTCTGCAGCTGAAAGCCGTCGCGACGTGTTGCCTGCGCGGTTGCAGGGAGCAGACAGGAACAGTCTCTGCAGACCAGCCTGGACGACTAGTACTTTGGAGCCCTCCAACTTCTGGGAGTGATATATTTTAAATACTTATTGTGTTCTAGCGCTGTTTGTGGTCTTTGTGTTGAAAATCACGGAGCCATATTTTAATTTCCCAATCCTTTCCAAAAGCGCCTACGTTTTTAGACTGTACTCTGAAGCAGAGCAGGTTCCGAGGGGTGGGGGGAGAGATGGAGGAGGAGCCAACGGGTGATGTTTCTTACAAGTCTCCATTGGGGCCAATACACAAATCAGTTGTCTACTCCTCGTAGTATAGACTGAGATTCTTGCAAACACAGTTGATGTTTAATTTATAAATGAATGCGTCGTTTTTACGTAAGCGCCCAGACCCCAGGAAAATATCTGCTGTAGAATTTTTTTTTAAATGTCGCTAAAGTACCAAAATAAAATATCTCCTGAACAGCGTGAGATTCCCGGGGAGCCATTTCTGTGAGTTGGTTGATTCTGTTCCCAGAAAGTTAGCATTAAAATTCGAAGATCCCAGGAAAAGGGCTGGGCGGGGGTGGGGGTGGGGGATTGCTGGGAGCGTCTTCTATCACTGCGTTTGCAGCCATCGATGTAAATATAGTGGTCATTTTAGCTGATCCCTATGTTTGAAAGGCAAAGAGCAAAATCCGGAGGGCACAGGAAACAAGATGAACAATTAAACAGTTATGAGAATAAAAGATGAAATGTTGGAGTGTTGTAGGTGCTTAGCCTTGAGGAAGTCATATAATTTATCTAAATTTCAGTTTCCTCATCTGTGATTAGGGAATAATATCAGTTCTACAAGGTAAAAATGTATTCGTGTATTTATCCATCCAAAGAATATGTATTGAATGCCATTTATTTGCCAGGGAGATAACATTCATTCATGCAGGCAGCACTCTTGCTGATGATGAGCATCATGTGAAGTGCCTCGCAAGCACAGAGTAGTTAATGTGTTTTCTTACCCACCCTTGTTCTTTGCAATGCCTCCGTTTTCTCATCTATAAAATTAGGAGGAGTTCAAGGGAGGCTATCATAAATAATTCAGGGCAGGTTTTGATTTGCAAGGAGGTGGGAGCGCTGAGAGGTTAGGACAACAGAGAACCAAGGGAAAGGACCTTCTTACAGGACCCGGGAAGACCCAGGGGGCTGCTCCCAAGGTACCAGGTTCTCTAAGAGAGAAGAGGCCATCAAAGGAAAGCCTGGCTTGAAAGGCCAGCCTGTCAGCCCCGAGAACAGACTCCTCATGCTTCACTGTCTCGACCACACAGGCTACCTCCTTGTATGTCAATAGTTGAAATTAGAAATTGACCACATATTACAAGTTCTATAATTGACATGCATAAATTCCCCCAGACACTGCTGTGCAAGTCAGTTTGGTTTGCTATACTAATCTGTAGAGTAATCATAGATAAATCTAATTATTTCTATTAAGAAAGAAAAATACAACATGAGAGGAACTCATATATAATAATTGATGGAATTAAAGTAGCTACTTTTAAAAACAACAGTATGGTGATTGCTGGTGGGAGGGGGTATAAGGGAACTAAATGGTAATGGAAAAAATACAATATAGATTCAACTTTTAAAAAATAAATGAAGCAAAGCAAGAGGGGCAGAAAACTTTTAGTAAAACCCATAGACCTGCACAGCCCAATACTATGGGTAGTCACTAGCTGCAAGTGACTGTTAAATTAAACTTCAGTTCTTTAGTCTGACTAGCTATTTGTCAAGTACTCAACATCCATTTGTGGCGAGGGGTCACTGAGTTGTTCAGGGCCGATTAAAGAACACTTTCATAATGAACAACACGGCTAAAGACTTTGCTATAGTTTTTGAAGGCTTCCTCAAGTATAATTTCGATGCATCCAATATTGAGTAACTTCCAAAGTAAAAAGTGAAATAGAATCACAGAAGGATTTACTCATTCTACAAATATTTATCAAGTACCAACAATATACTAAGTGAAATTAGAGGGACTCTAATGAGTTAAGTATGTTTGGTGATTGAGAAATATTAATATAGCTCAACAAAGGTATAAATGCCTAAAGTGGAAGAAACTTCAAACCCTTGTGTTAATTCTTAAATGTAGAATTTCTAACTTAAGAGAATTAGATTGAGAGGCAGCCGTTTTTTTTGTATCTTAAAATAACTGGGGACATAGTTAAAATTTTATACATCAAGAGGTTGCTCTCGAATGTTGCAGGTGAAATGTGGTTATTTGTAGTCTACTGGAAATGTGGAATAACTGAAGGAAGTGGAGGGGGAGAAGACAATATTTGAAATTTGGAAAATCGTAAACATTTTGGTAAGAAATTGTCATTTTTACTTACATTCTTTTAAGAATATTAAAAAAACCCTGGTGGTTGGTGTAGTTAAACCATAACTATTGCTGATCATGTAATTATAGCCTGCAGAGAAAGTTATAATCTAAGAATTTAAAAAATGTGCCCCTGAAGTTTTTGTTTAATTGCATCAATTTATGTATTTATGTGAATTTATAAACTGCAGTAAGTTTTGAATGAGGTTAGTCTTGTCTAATATAAGTAGATGCGTCTGTAGACTGATTGCCCCAAACTATTAAATATAGTACTTGGAACTCTGTTCTTAACGGTTGTAGTATTGGTAAAGTACTGATATGCAGAAAATAAAGGAATTACACACACTCACACACACAGAGAAATATTAACATGGCTTAACATACCCTTTCAGTGGTATTCAATGACTGCTGAGTATTAAAACCAGGGGAAATGCTAAATTTAAAGCAAGACAGAATTCTAAGACATTTTTAGGAATAGTCCTAGGACTACATAATTATAATTTAAAAATTACAGTTAGCTGACTGATTTCCAACATGCTATGCCCTCTGTTCCTTTTCATTTGTCTGTACCCTTTTCTGCTTATGTTTCCTGAAGGTGACATACTATTCAGCCCTTTCCACTTCACCACGTTTTGGAATTATTTTACCCTTTGCATTCATACAGCTCTCCTCTGGGACCTGCCTGTCCTCTCCAAGGGGCGAGGTTGGGGTGGGGGCATTAGAACAGACAATCCATTGAGAATAAAGATGGCTATCAATATGTTAATATTTCTGGTCCCTTCCAAGTTTACTAGAACAAGCGTTTTCTTTTTTTATTAATTTATTTATTTTGATTTTATTTTTTCTTTATCTTTATTGTTGACAGAAGAGCCAAGGATTTTCTTAAAGCTACACCTTCAAGATAAAAGTTTACCCTTAATGGTGAATATCCAGATGCTACAGCCAGTCGGGAAAATATTTGGAGGCATTGCAAACCACCTGCTGGGTGGCTAACTATTAATGCAGCAATGAAAAAGGACAAAATATGCCTTCATTTGAGGGATAAACACACAGTGGAACAGGCTGGTTGTGGCTTTTCTATTACTACAAATGAAAGATCAGCATTCCCAAGTGGTTAGGCAACAGATCTTGCTGGAAAAATATAATTCCTGTGATGCTTTCCCAGCGCAGGGATTGAAGGATTCTAGGTCTACCTTTTTGAACAGTAAGCAGTAAATCATGCAGAAATGTAAAAATATTTTCTCAATAGAGATAGTAGAAAGGACATTTCACCTGAGGTCAGTAAACCTGGTTTGAGTTTCATCTTTGCCACATAAACTAGTGTATTTGGTTATTACTGAATTTGGAGAGTCTTACTTTCATCTATAAAGGAACATCTCTAAAAAGACCTTTAAAAAATGCTCCTCACTGATTAAGAGACATACCAGTAAAAAAATGAAGATAACAACTACAATGCTATTATTCTACTCAAATATACCCACTGCTTCTCTCCTCAGCTAAGAGGCTTTGTAGAACCAATAGCAATAAGAAAGGTTGATTTAATGCCATTTATGCTCCAGACTGTGTTCCAACTTCTTTATATGCAACATTCTCATGCAAATTTTATAAAATCCTGTAAGACAGTAGTAATTAATACCCTACCGCTATGTTACTGATGAGATACTGAGGTTTATGTGGATTAGAGAACTCACACTGAATTGCCTTTTGGAAACCCAAGGCTAGCTGTCTCTAGAGCCAACGTAATACACAATGGTCCATGTAACACACCAGCTCCTCACACTCCAAACCTTATCTGCACCCTTTCTGAACCAAAGCTGCTGTTGTCAGCAATGTTGTGCTTTAGGAATGTCCTAAGAGGAGAACAACAACAACAACAACAACAACAACAACAAAATCTATCAAATGATGACTGGAGGAAGATTCTCTTTTCAGCAGCTACACTGAATGTGGATTTTTAAAAATTGTTTAAAAGTGGGTCCTTTAATCACAGAGTGAGAGCATTACTGATTATGTTGAGAAGTATAAATGTAATACATATCATTTGTTTGCTTTACCTATTTCCCTAGGTAGATATGCATGCTCTTAAACACATTTCTTTTCAATTCAAAATTGTCTGGCTTTTAACTTTAGTCTGAGCAGCAGAAAAATACACACCAATGATTCTCAATGAATTCTGACAAGGACTATCTCACA